CACAGCAGCTCCTGCCCATCCCGGGCTGTGCCCATCCTGCTGAGGGGCTGCTGGGACCTCCTGCCCTATGTCACCCCTTACCTGGTCCACCTTTTCTTTCATGACCTTGGAGTACTTCACGGGGAATGGGACATCCAGCAGAGCCTCCAGGTTTTCAATTAAGACATCGTTGCTCAGGCACAGGTTGAACTCCTCAGGGGTGTAATCCAGCAATAACTCGGGGTTCATGGTGATGGTGGTGGAGGTGATGGGCTCAGAGGGGCAGCCTGTGGGTGAGGAGTTGTGTCAGGCAGATGGTGTGTCCCCCCTTCCCACCTGGCCCTGGTCCTGCCACGGGGCTCAGAGCCCCTTGGAAGAGCCCTGGGGCATGAACAGGGAATCACAATAACATGGCTTGAGCCACTGCGGATCCTCCTCCCATCCTCTGGGCCCCCAGCCCATGAAGCCTGATTTGCTTTCATTCCTTAAAGTTCACAAGGATGTTTTTGCAGCCCATTTGCACTTTGTCCTGTTAAAAGCAACTACAAACTCTCCAGGCCACCTACATGAGCATCCTCTGATCTGGCAGCATCCTCCACTTGGTGCTGACCCTGCCTGGGGAATATCCCACCCTGTCCCACTGCTTCCCAGCTGCTGCTGCCATACTCCTGCTCCCAGGTAAGAGCAACCCCCCCAGTGTTCTGTAAGGTCCTTTCCCCACCTCCCCAGTTACTTTATGGGAATCCCATAGCTTTCTGCCCAGTCCTGTGTCTCCCCACTCCTGGCAGCACCCAGATGCCCACCAGCACAGGGGCATTTTCATATCCCCCCCCCGCCCCCCTGAGAGCTCTAAACTGGTCTGGACTGGCCAACACTCACGGTCCGTGCTCCGCTTCAGCCTGGGATGAGATGAAGCTGCTCGGGGGAGGTTCCTGCTGTACCTGAGTCAGCCCCATAAAGGAAAGGGAATTCTTGGTGTGTTTGTGCTCCAGGAGGAGCCAAAGCAACCGGAATCCCTGCCCGGGCACAGGCACGGAACCGGCTGTGCGAGGCTGTAAATCCTCCCCAGCCCAGGGACCCGTCACAGCAGCCGGGAGTGGATGTGGGGAGCAATCAAACACACACCGGCCCCACTGCCCAGACCCCCCAAAACCCAGAGCCCTGGCTGGGGCTGAACTTACCCAGGGTGCTGCTCTGCGGTGGACAGGACAGCTCCAATGACCAGGGCAGCCTGGGGACAGGATGGGGGATGCTCAGCCCAGGCAAGGAGTGGGAAGAAGGGATTTTAGATGCAGGGAATGGGATCTGACCTGGCTGAAGGCTGCCCTGGTGACATGTGGGGACAAAAGCCACCACAGCCACTCTCAGGAGAGGGGACCCTTCAGTGGGTCTGTCCCTGTTTCCCCAGAGCCAGCAGAGCTGGGAGCCCATCAGGGTGCCAGCCCTTGGTTTGGGAGCAGGGCAGGGAAGCTGCTGGGCAGTGGGTGAGTGAGGGGTGGGATGGGACAGGGACAGGCCATGGGCTGCCCAGGGCAACAGCAGGCAGGTGACAGCTGTGCCTCCCTGCAGCTGAGGGATGGAGGAACCACGGCAGCTCCAGCACCTCCAGCACCAGCTGAGAAGTTTGGGAAAGCTCTGGAGCGTTTGGAGCCAGCAGAGACAGGGGAGACTCACCACTGCAGCTTTCACCAGGTTTGTGGAGACACCTGCAAGGAAGCGGGAGCAGGTTAGGAAACATCCATGGATGTATGTACAGGTGGTCAGGGGATGTTCCACAGCTGCTCCAGGTTTAAAGTCTGGGAAGAGCCTTTTCTTTGGCAATTTAATGATGTTCACTTAAACCTCTGTGCAGAGAGCAGCCCCCAGCCCAGGCACCCCGGGGTCCCTCTGGGTGGGTTTGGAAGGCAAAAAGGGAGAAATCTGTCCCTGGAAATCTGTCTCTGTCCTTGGGAAAAATCTCCCACTGCCTGTGGATGCTGAGGGGAGACGGAGGCAGGGGGCAGGGAGTGCCGAAGCCGAGCAGGATGAGGATGAGGAGCAGCACGGGCTGGAGCATCCCTGGCGCTGGGGGTGGATGGGGGTCCCAAAGCAGCTTTAGGGACACGAGGTGTCACTCACGGAGGCAGAGGGCGATGGCAGCCGGGGCTGGGGCTGCCCACACCATGGTGCTGGGGCTGGGGCTCCGCCCTCGGCGCCGGTCCGGAGGGTCGTGTCCGACACTTGGGGTTGTTGGAGGGTGCTGGGGGTCCTGCAGCCGATTCTCTCACCCAGCAATGGGGCTGGAGCCGTGTCCCACACTCAGGGTCAGTGCTTGGGGATGGTGCTTGGGAATCCTGCAGCTGATTCTCTCACCCAACACCGGGGCTGGAGCCGTGTCCCACCCCTGGGGTTCTTCTCCCTGCAGCCGATTCTCTCACCCAGTGCTGAGGTTGGAGCTGTGGGATCAGGGTGGGTCAGTGTGCCCACCCGTGCCCTGTGCTGCCTGCACAGACCCCCCACAGCCAAGGGAGAGATTTAAAATCCTATATAACGGAAAACAGGATTTAATTCTCCACCCATCATTAAAGAAACTCCACAATAACTCCCCTGACACCCAGTGCCCTGCTCCTGTCTGTGCCCTGCAGGGACGGGGTCCCCCTCCATCCCCTATATCCACATGGGACTGGAAGAAATCCAGTGTAGCCCAGGGGAGGAGCCCCAGCAGGTGTTTCCCTCCCGCTGTTCCCCACTCCACACCTCTCACCTGGATTCCCCTACGATAGAAAATCCATCCCTGCTCCCAAAATCCCCCCTCTGAGCCCAGTGCTGCCCACAGTTATCTCCGTTCGAACTCAACGCAAGTTCAATGCAAGGAATTTTCCCCCTGAGGCTCATTTTGTTCCCCAAATCCCACCGTGGCCGTGCCGAGCCGTTCTCCTCCTCTCCGTCCGGGGGGATCTGGCTCCGTGGCGAGGTCTCAGCCGGGCAGGTCCTCTCCCCCCGCGGGGCCGGGGATGGGCAGCGCCGGCAGCGCTCGGCACTTATCTGTGCGGGGTGGGGATGTTGCTCCCGACAGGGGTGTGACGGGGCAGTTTCTCAACAGTGTTTTGTCAGGCTCCTTCCCTTCTCCCCGGTTTTGGTTTTTTTTTCTTGGGTTTTTTTTTTTTTTTTCCTTGTAAAGGAAACTTAGAACTTCTGGTTCAGCTGAAGCCAAAATGAATCCAGAGGGAGTTAAATCCTCCGGGCTTGGTGATTTCTGTGCTCCTGAGGGAGATAAAGGTGCTCCCAGGGAGTGGAAAACTTTTTGAGCTGTTCAGGGGTTTATTTTCCAGGGCAACTGAGGTGCAGAACAGACGAGTGTTCAGTGATGGGCTCAGCACGCTCTGGGAGCTGCTTCCCTCCCGTCCATCCTTTTTCCATTAACCATGGACAATCCCATTCCCTCTTTTACAGCTTTCTCCCTGATCATGCTCTGAAATGCCATCCAGCATGTGCCATGAAGGAGACCAAAAAGAAAGGAAACAAACCCTTGCTGAGGCTGTGGGATGACAGCCTGGAGGAGCCTGATGCCGTGAGCACAAACGTTATCTGAGCGTTTATCCCGGGAAAAGGGAAGGGCCAGAGCAGCTGGAGTGGGTGGCTGGGCTGGCAGCAAGGCTGCAGCCCCTTCTCAGAGAGATTTGGGGGTACCAGACTTCTCCGAGGGTCCCTGGAGCTTCTGGCACAGTGCCAAGGGGGGGTTGTCACACTCCCCCCCTCCCCCAGTGCTCCCAGTTGTGTCCTGTCCCCAGCCCCGGCCCCCAACCGGTCCTGCAGCCCCGGGGCTCGGCCGCCGCCCGCGGGTGTTGCTGGTTTCTATTTTGGAAGGATTTACTGTAAAAATAGCTCCTGTTGCAGTGGTAAAATTACAGAAACTTGTTTGCTATGAGGATGCTGGTGGGACACGGCCCCTGCCCCGGGCTGGCTGGGCAGGGGTGGCTGGAGCAGGAGGGCAGGGACACACTGGAGCTCCTTTGCAGGTCACCAAGTCCACTGTGTCCCTACAGAGCTTAAAACTGACCCTGAAACACCCTCAGGAGCTGACACAGGAGGGTCCACCCCGAACTTGAATGTGCCAAGAACATCTGCCCAAGTCCCTTCCTTGGGACCTCAGCAGGTTGTTTGTAGGCTCTGACTGCAGGACGAGTGAGGAGCATCGACAGAGTCCCAGAATGGTTTGTGTTGGAAGGCACCTTAAGCCCATCCAGTCCCATCCCCTCCCATGTACAGGGACACCTTCCACTAGCCCAGGTTGCTCCAAGCCCTGTCCAACCTGGCCTGGGACGCTCCCAGGGATGGGGCAGCCACAGCTTCTCTGGGCAACCTGTGCAAGGGCCTCCCCACCCTCACAGGGAAGGATTCCTTCCCAATATCCCATCTAACCCTGCCCTCTGGCAGTGGGAAGCCATTCCCCCTTGTTCTGTTCCTCCATCCCTTGTCCCAGGTCTCTCTCCAGCTCTCCTGGAGCCCCTTCGGGCACTGAAGGGGGTTCTCAGGTCTCCCTGGAGCCTTCTCTTCTCCAGGTGAACACCTCCAGCTCTCCCAGCCTGGCTCCAGGGCAGAGGGGCTCCAGCCCTGGGAGCATCCAATCATCAGGAGTGACAGCAGCTTTCCCTGGGCACCCCCTAAACCCTGCCAGCCCCAGGGCTGCTCCCCACCTCCTTGCCAGGGAAAGACACAGTGTTCCCAAATTAGGAGCTTTTCTTGTCTGCCTGGGACAATCCCAGCTGGCAGGGACGGGCAGGGGACAGGATGTGGCACCGACATCTGCCCCAGCTGCCTCCACCATCCTCGGCCACCTCTGTTCCTAAACCCGGGAGGGCTCTGGGGTCGCTCATCCCGGTGGTTTTGGCCGGGAATTCCAGCAGGGGGAGGATGGACCCCGCGGTGCGGTGCTCACACAGCAGGTTGGCCGGGCTGGAGCCCCGGGGCCGGTCCCGTCGGGCCGGTCCGGGCTCATTCCTGGAAGCCCCCGGAGCCGCGTTGGATTGAGAGACAGGGGGCGAAGGGCAGAGACACGTTTAATACAGTGAGAGGCAACAACACGGGTACTGCCAAGTGCACAGAACATCACAACACACACCCCAGCACCGGGGGATTCGCAGCCAACGCCCTGTGGCAGTGCCGGCAGAGAGGAGGGAGCAGGAAGGGATGCCAGGAAGGGCACCTGGAAAACACTCTCTGCAGGGTAAGGAAAACACCTATTTATCTCTGGTCTCTGTGGTGTTGGTTATAAGTGCAGCACACGAAGGCTGATGGGTGCTGGGGAGGGGGCTCCTCCACACAGCCCCCAGCAGGGATGGTCCATCAGCGTCCCCACATCCCACCCCAGTGCTCCACCCCATCCCGGATGTTCCCAGTGGGAAGGGCAGGCTGTGTCCCACCCGTGACATGTAAATCTCCCCTGGCACTTTTCAGCACCTCCCGTGCACGTCACCCCCCTTCATTCTTTGGCAAACAGGTTCATGAGGGTAATTTACAGCTCCGGGACCTGCCCGCGGCTGCCTCTCCCTTCCCGGCCACTCCTGGGACATGGGATGGGCAGGGAGGGGGCTTGGGAGGAAGGAGATGGGTCTCCCGCTCCTCCAACCCACCCTGAGCCCAGGGCTGGCACCTCAGAGCCATCCCCACCAAGACACAAAAGCACAGTGAACTTGCACCCAGGGACACAAGGGATGGGTGATGCAATTCCCCCCGGGATTTCAGTGACCTGCAGGGTATGTTCACCCACAGGGAGAGAGCTGTGACATTTTATTCCCCCTCAGAGTGGGAATGTCAGTTGTGTGAAACCCCTGTCAGGTGCATTTTCCATGGGATGGGGCTGGTGGGGTGACAACAACTCTGGGCACACACTGATGTGCCGACGCCCCCGGGATGGGGATGTGTGTGCAGTGGGCTCCAGCCCCTCTGTCCCTCCCCAGCTGTCCTGTTCTCCTCATTTCCAAATGTCCTCCAAGGGCTGGAGAGGACGAGCAGGGTGGAAAAGGGAAAGCAAAGCAGGATGACCAGCAAAGCAAGGGCACTTCCAGAGAAACTCTTCTTGGAATCTTGCAAAGCTGAGCGCCAGCGGAGCTGAGCCACCACATCAGTCTTTTTTTCAGCTTCATCCATTTCCTACTGCTCCAGAGCCTTCCCAAACTGTCCACCCAAAGGACCTTCCTCTGGCACCCTCTGGAAACCTGCCAGCCAGGAGCCACACTGTGGGACCACGAGCCACACCGTGGGATCAAGCCAGGACTTGTCCAGGTGAGCAGCAAGGGGCTCGTGTCCTCTGACCTGTCTCAGCAGGGGTTACACCCACACCCAGGATAAAAGCAGGAAAGGCAATGCCAGTAGAAGGAATAATAAAATCCATTAAAAAAGCTTTGGGCTGCTGGCTCTCCGACCACAGAAATACTAAAAATACCTCATTTCTGAGACCACCCGTATTTTACAACCCCTAAAAGACTAGATTCTTCCCCTAGAAAATTGAAAAAGGTTTAAAATCCGTTTGTATCAACCCTCTCACCTTCACCAAACCTTTAAAAACCCCGTGGGAGGGCTGAAGGAGGAGGGGAGTGCGGGGCAGGGATGGGCAGCACTTTGGTGCCAGGCAGGGACCTCTCCTGTGCCCATCCCAGCACATCTCTGTGGGCCAAACACCGGGAGCAACCCAAAACTGGGGGGCTGTTGGTGCCCCCAGCCTCTGCTCCAGCCCCCCCAATGTCCCACCTCCCACACGTGTGCCAGTGAGTGCAGCAGCTGGAGTGAAGGCAATGGGAACGGGGGACACGGACACCGAAGCTGCTCGTGGCATGTCCTCCCCTCCCTGTGCTGGGCTGCACTTCAGCATCCAAGCACGGAGGGTTTGTGGGAATGTCATGGCAAAGGCAGTGTCTGTGCTGCCCCGGCTGGGCCCGAGCCCCAGGGCAGGGATGGGAAGCTTTGGGGTCACTCTAAGCTGGTGTGTGACACTGACTCTGCTGCTGAGGCCTGGAACTGGGGAAGGGGCATCCCGTGGCCAGCTGGATGATGGACATTAAAAAGCAAACCCACCCTAACCGCTGATCAGTGTGCCTAATCCAGCCCCGTGAGCGAGGGAAGCCTTGGCATACAGGAGGGGCAGGCGTGGAGTCAGCGCTGGGCTCCGAGGGGACCCACTGGGACAAAGATGGAGCTGGAAACGCTGGGACGTGGCTCGTGCTCACTCCAGAGCCCACTCTGCCAACCACTGCTGGCACCGCGCCCGCTGCTCCTCCGGCTCCGCGCTCCCGGCTTCGCTCCGGGGCTGCTCCTCCTCCGCACCACCACCCACGGCCTCCTGGCCCTGCTGCTCCTGCTCCTCCTGCGTCACCTTGTCCTTGAGCTCCTGGATGGTGTCCTCCAGCCGGCGGGTGACGCGCTGGGGCTCCCAGTTGCCGTCCATGGCGGGGACGAAGGGGTCGGGCGCGCACACCTCGATGAGCTCCCCGCGCGCGGGGATGCGCAGGTAGTAGGCGTGGAGCATCATCCTGTAGGGGCTGCTGTCCTGGCCCAGGCTGTACGTGAAGTCCCCCACGATGGGGTGACCGACAGCACTGCAGTGAACCCGCAGCTGGTGAGTCCGCCCTGGGGAGAGCAGGAGTGGAGGGATCATGGACAGGTTATCCCTGAATCCCTCCTTCACCGCGTGAGGTGACAACGCACCAGGTAACACTTGTCCCCCCTGAGCCCGGCAGTTCTCGGCTTCTCTCATCCCCTTTCCAGGCTCTGCTTCCACGTCAGAGCCCCCCGGAGCTGCAGCCCGGACCCCAACCCCCACCTGTCAGAGGCTGCAGCAGCACTTTGGTCACAGGGTCTCCGCTGTAGGATCCGTGCTCCAGCACGATCAGCTCCGACTGGCAAGGCTTGGGATTTTCACAGCCTGCAACAAGATCCAAAGGGGGTTTGTCATCCCCCGGCGAGGCTCAAGGGGTCTGGGCAGTGCAGGGAAGGGGGGCTCACCCTCTGTCCCGTCGATGCACATCATGTGGGTCCTGCCCTCCGTGGTGTTCTTCCCGATGGCATAGCGGATCGTCATCCGGCTCTGGCTGACGTGGCCCCTCACCTGGGGGCAGAAAGGGGGTTTGAAACTGAGCCCTGGCACGTGCTCCTCACCAACCCCCCAGTGCCAGGAATCGTGGAATCACAGAACGGGAAAGGTTGGGAGAGTCCACAGTGGGGACGCCCAGTCCACCCTCCCTGCTCCAGCAGGGTTTTCCTAGAGCATGTGGCACAGAATTGTGTCCAGATGGATGCAAGAAGCAGACCAAGCTGCAATTCATAGAATTACAGAGTCCTGGAATGGTTTGGGTTGGAAGGGACCTTAAAGCCCATGCAGTTCCAGTTCCAACCCATTGGCAGGAACATCTTCCACTTGACCAGGTTGCTCCAAGCTCCATCCAACCTGGCCTTGGACAATTCCAGGGGCAGCTGCAACATGTGCCAGAACCTCACCACCCTCACGGGGGAAATTCCTTCCCAATATCCCATCTAACCCCGCCCCCTGTCAGTGGGAAGCCATTCCCCCTTGTTCTGTTCCTCCATCCCTTGTCCCAAGTCCCTCTCCAGCTCTCCTGGAGTCCCTTTTAGGCACTGGAAGGGGCTCTCAGGTCTCCTTGGAGCATTCCCTTCTCCAGGCTGAACCCCAGCTCCCTCAGCCACCCAGCAGAGGTGCTCAGCCCACCCAGAAGGGCAGCCCCGAGCAGGCCCTGGCAGGCTGGGCTCACCAGGGCGAGGTAGGCTTTGGTCACCAGCCGCTCCTTGAAACACTTGTAGGCACTTCCCGCTGCTGCCTTGTTGAGAGCGACACACAGGGCCCCGCTGGTGGAGAAATCCAGCTGGTGGCAGAACCTGGGGAGGAGACAGGGGTGCAGGAACATCCTGGGGAACTTGTGGGTGCCCCCAGCCGAGGGCACAGCCCAGAAGGGTGCCTGGCCACTCACCTGAAGCCGTAGTAGGTGTCGGGGTCGGCGAGCTCGGGGAAGCGGTGCCGGAGCTGGCTCTGCAGGGTCAGTGTCTCGTACCA